GCATTGTGGTAAACTGTGGTCAATGATATGAGACTAAGTATATGTGAACTGCTGTATGGAAAGTGAATTTGCTCTGTAAATCTTCACCCAAATCACAATTTTAAAAAAAAAGAGAGAGAGAAAAGAAAGTCACAAGGTAGAAAAAAAATTTTTTTCCATTAGTAAAATATGCTGTAGCTGCTTAATAGCTTAAATTTTTGCTATAAAATGTCCAAATAATAATAAACAGCAAATGCAATTCAATTCAATCAATATACCTCTTACTCACTTTCCTAAAAATACAATAATACTTATAATTTTTAAAAAAATACATAAATCATTAAGCTAAGCACTAGATATGAATTATCACATTTAATCCTCAAAATGACACTTAGAAGTAGATACTATCATATTAATTTTAGATTGGGAAACTGAGGCTCAGTTTTGAGAAGTGAACAGCCATTAATTTTGTGAATAGCAAAAGACACTGTTAATTAAACTTCAAAATCTAAATTTAAACCAGGTCTGTGTGACTGTAGATTTCAATATTTAAATTCTTTATCTTTGTACAGGAAAATGCTTCAAGAAATTTTAAATAATAAACTTGAAAATTAGCTTACAATTTCACCTAAAAACTGGAAATTATTTGGGAATTAATATTCATGGCATAGTGCCTATAGCACTTGACTGCTAACCAGAAGGCTGACAGTTCAAACTCACCAGCCACTCCTCAGAAGTAAGTTTGGGCAATCTACTTCTGTAGTGATACCGCCTCGGAAACCCAAGGAGGGGTCACTATGAGTCAGATTGGACTCAACAGCAGTGAGCTTGTAGAGATTTTTAAGTGTTTTTACTTTGCTATGAAGTATTAATTATTTTGGCTGAACATACTTGTATCATGAATTCTTAACTATAGAGCAGTATCCCTATTTGTTCTTTTGGGCACTATAAAGATTTTGACCCTTTGTTCACAATAAGAATTTAGAATTTAAAAAATACAAAACAAAAGTTCACACTAAAATAAAATTTAATATAAAAATGAAACTGGGAAAAAATGTTTACCCCATATTGTAAAATGTTGACCTTTATTCAAAATTCAGACTAGATCTTAACTTTTGAGACTGTAGAAAAAATTATCTATTTCTAATAGTAAATAAAATAATTACTTACAGTTTAGAAGTGGCTGCATACAAGAGATGTCAGACAACAGAAAACTACTTTTTGGTGGCAGCAAGTATTTCTGTCCCATTAAAGTAATCATTTTTGTGAAGCTAGAGCTGTTTTCAACAACCCGTGAAAATAAATCCTGCTCTGTAATAGACATATCATCTTCCATCAATTGTAATGTCTGAAGTTCCATTTCATTAAGAGAAGACAAATGCTTTGCCATTTCACATAATTCTGATAAATTGCAAGTATTATGTGGTAAAGTAATATGCTCACTACATGTGTCCTGTTTTTCAGAAAATGGATGAAGAAAACCACTTTTGAGACCTTCTTGGACTAACTGTGATGATCCATCCAAAATCAGCCTCCTGATCTGTAAGAGAAGTTTTTCAAAACACATTAAAAGAAAGGACATTGATAATAAAACATTTTTTTAAATAATGAGATTTCTATTATGCTTTGAGTATTTGAATTTAAATAAAGTCAAAGTTCTTAATGCATATAATAAAATAATTTTATACTAGAAGAAAAAGAATGTGCTAGCATACCTGTGAATTTTTGTTCCCTAATTGTAGAATGAAACAAACCTCACAAACATACCAATAATTAAATATCCGAATAATATACATAGGAAAATATATTCTTAAAAGTTCATAAAATGATCTTGATAATCTGAATATTCCTATAAGAACATAGAATTTCTAAGCTATGGAGATAATTTAGTTTAAATCATAAAATTTAACATTAGATTTAACTTCAGTAATTATAAAACTAATGGCCTGAGTTCGGCTTTTGGACAACGTGGAGTACCATGGATCAAATTTACCCTTTTATGTGAAATAACTAAAATGAATGGACAAAATGTGTTATAAATAAATAAATAAAAGGTTTTCAGATTTTAGATATCAAGCAGGAGGGACACTGATAGTCAAAAAAGGATAAACAAATGATTACTTTAGCTTACTGCCTTCAGAAAGTTTCCAGGCAGAAGCACAGAGAGGAGGATCCATGCAGAGTCCAATAGTCTTTCTGAGTTAAGAAGATGGACTCTGGAAAGGCAAGGGTAGCTATAGTTTTCAAGGGTAGGTACCAGAGAGGAGATAGCTACAAAATGAAAGAGTTCTTGAAATCTGTAAGGGTTCCCTCAAAACTTCCGCTTAATACTGATCAACACATTTGTGTGATTAAACTACTCAAGGTCAGGAAAAGAACCAGATGAAATAATTAGAAGCAACAATCCCCAGAGATCACACAGGTTGGATATGGCGGTACTCCCACCAGGCAGAGTGAAACATCTCATACTTCACAGGGCATCAAATAGACTACTCAGAAGCAGTCTCAGTATTGAAGGAAAAAAATAGTTCTAGAAAAAGTGTATTGTACTCTTAACTAAAAAAAGCTTAACAGAAGTCTGGAAAAGATCAACCAATTCAAAGTAATCCTGTTAAAACAAAGCTCAAGAGTATTTATGTTGTTGTTGTTGTTATGTGCCGTCGAGTCAGCCCTGACTCACAGCGACCCCTCCTTGGGTTTCCGAGGCAGTATCACTACGGAAGTAGGATTGCCCAACCTTCCTTCTGAGGAGTGGCTGGTGGGTTTGAACCGCCAGCCTTCTGGTTAGCAGCCAAGTGCCTTAGCCACTATGCTACCAGAGCTCCCGTAAGAGTATTTATAGGAATACAAAAAATATCTAGCACCCAACAAGTGAAAACTGAAGTATTTTACAAAAATTCAAGTTAGTTGGAACATAAAGAAGCAGAAAAATAGGACACATAAGAGATCAGATCACTCAATAGAAGATACAAGAATGTATGTATGTACATATGATTCTATTAGTAGGAAAAGTTGGGTAAGTTTGTTTCCAGGCCATTAAAAAGATGGGATGAGGAAGTACAAAAGGATATTAAAGCAGTTATTATAACTACATTGTGTGTGTTCAAGAACATGAAAGAAAAGATAAGCATGTTAAAGACATGGAGTCTACAAAAAAAATCTAATTTCTACAGATGAAAGCTACAATATATAAAAAGAAAAATAGACTTGATTGGATTGATAGCAGATTAAATACTGAAGAAGAAAAGATTAGTACAACTGAAGAAATAATGATAAAACTATCTAAAATGATGTAGATGAAAAAAAGACTAAAAAATAAATTAACAAAGTATCAATAAGCTGTGGGACAACTTCAAGTGGTCTAAATTGGTGTAACTGGAGTTTCTAATGGAGAGAGAGGAGGGGACAGAAAAAAATATATAATAACCAAAAATAATAACAAAAATTTTCCAAATTTAGTTAAGACTGTAAGCTTACCAATCCAAGAAGCTCAAAAACCCCAAAGAAGCAAAACAAGAAAATAATTACACTAAGAAACATCAAAATTATTTAGCTTAAACTGAAATCAGTGATAAAGAGAAAATCTTAAAATCATTCAAAGACTTCCATTTCCAGCAAAAATGAAATAATGATGAAAACCACTTTTAAGACACTGGTTATAAGGCACCAACAAACAGTGATCTCTGAGAGATGGGAAAGAAATCATAAGTAAACAGTATGACTGCTCAAGCTAACTGACTAGAGTTTCCAGGCCACAAAAAGAAAAACGTAAGCAGAGCCCAACAGATACCCCGAGTTGGGGAGATGGAGCTGAAAAGGTAACAGAAGCCACACAGTTATAGTTCACAGAACTGAGTACAAGAGCAAAGACCTATGTACACAGAAAGATTCTGGAGACCTGCACAGGGTCCCACTGGAGAATTAACCTACATAATAATAAGTGCACGCAGGAGGGAACTCTCCAAGACTGGGAAAAGGATCACACAAAATGATTAAAGAAAACAGTGCTTGCTCCTCCTACAGGGCTAAGAATAGTGCCTGTTTCCACCAGTTAGAACTGAAAACCTCATAATTTGCAGGGCTCCAAAAACACCAACCTCACTGCCATGGAGCAGATTCTGAGCAATCTTCACTGGGTTTCCAAGACTATACATCTTTATGGAAGCAGACTGCCTCATGTTTCTTCCATGCAGCGGCTGGTGGGTTCGAACCACCCATCTTCTGCTTAGCAGCCCAATGCCTTAACCACAGCATCACCAGAGTTCCTTAAATTTACAGGGCTATTGGGAAAAAATTTACCATGGCCTCTCTGAGCAAAAGCAATGACAGCTTTTTTTCCTGACAAAACTTTAAAGGATATTTGTGTAAGAAAAATCCACGGAAGATGGAAATATTATCTCCTTCCAAGACAGAAATCTGTTTGCTACAAAAGTTTAAAAAAAAAAAAAAAAAACCTCTGGAGCAAAATTTAAATAAATTTCCTTGCAGCCCATTTAAAGGATTGGGGCTCCCTAAGCTTGAGGTTCTAAGAATGTGATTCAAACCCACTGTATGCACAGAATCCAACTACGCTAATTGGCATCACGATATTGGACTTGGGGTACAAGAGCACCTATGTGAACATAAAGCTCATGATTCCTGTTATACTGTGAACAACAAAATCCTTTGTCCCTGACCTGAGTTGCAGATCTTCTCCCAATATCCTTGTAACCATGGCCAACTTACGAGTTTCCAAAAAGGTTAAAATTTCAGACCCTTTATAGTTTTTGACATTAGATAGAGTGGAAGGATCTTGCGACAGTAAAGGAAAATAATTAGCCCTAGCCTAAATCCTGTTCTAACCCCACCCAAAATATCTGAAAAGCAAGACTGTAAAGAATCAAGCTGTTCCCAAGTAACTGCTTCTCAGAGCAAAGTTAAAGGTAGTGAATCAAAGCTATGGAATACAAAAAATATCCAGCACCCAAGCATATAATAAAAAATCAAAGTTATAGTGATACAAAAATATTCTGCATCCAAAGTAAAATTTTCTGTATTTGCCATCTAATCAAAAACTATATGTCATGCAAAGAATCAGGAAAATACAACTCATAATGAAGAAGATTAATACAAATTAATCAACGGAACCCAGAACTAACACAGATGATAGACCAAGTATACAAGGGCAGTAAATCAGTTAAAACTGAATTCCATCTGTTCAAAAAGTAAAGACATAAAGAGAAAATCACAGTTCTAGAAATGAAAATAACAATCTGAGATAAAAATACACTGAATAAAAATAACAGTAGATATTACAGAATAAAATACCAATGATCTTGAAGATACAGTTAAGAAACTATACAAAATGAAACAGAGAAAAAGTAACTTTAATAAATGAAGAGTATCAGTGAGCTCGGGGCACTTTCAAGTGGTCTAAAATATGTTAAGTCTCTTCTCCTAAAGAAGAAGAGAGAAAAGAGGGACAAAATTATTTGAGGAAGTAATGGTAAAAACAATTTCAAATTTGAGGAAGACTATAAACTCATAGGTATATGAAGTTCAATGAACACAAAACAAAAGAAACATGGGAAAAAAAACTATATAAAGGAACATCATAATCAAATATCTCAAAGAGTGAAAAAGAAAATACTTTAAAACAGCTGGGGGAAGATGGGTGCTGAAGGAAGGCTCTGGCACAGGTCCAATTTGTAAAGTCTGGGACAGGCTGCCTTTTGTTTGTTTTCTCCCTAATATTCAAAGGAAATCTTTGTCAAAACACTAGCTGAGCACAAGCTAAGGAACAGTCATTATGTACACATACATACAGGGAGTCTTTGCAAAAACAGCCATGGGAAGTCACTAAACAAAAAGATCACTACAGTTTAAAATAAATAAATAAAAAGCAGCCCTTAAGGAAGGGAAAGAATCTGATTCCCAGTGCTATCACATTCTAATAGTCAAATGTCCTGGTTTCAACAAACACTCACATAAGAAAGAAGGAAGGATGGTCCATTCAATAGAACAAAATAAAATAACTGAAAGCACTACCCATGGAAGCCCAGAAAACAGACTTATTAGACATAAGTTTTAAACAATAGAGTAAATATTTCCAAAGATCTAAAGGAAAACACAACAAACTAAAAGAAAGTAGGAAAATGATACAGAAACAAATCAAGAATATCTATAACAAGACAGAAATCTTCAAAGAGAACCAAACAGAAATAATAGAGCTGAAAAGTATAATAAATGAAATAAAACATTCACAGGAAGGATTCAATGACATATACGAGCTGGCAGAAGGAAGAATTAGTGAATGTGAGGCTAGAACAAATGAAATTATAAAGACTGAATGAAATGAAAGTATAAAGCTCAGTAAACTCTATGAAAAACACAAAGAGATTCACATTAAGACAGATTATAGTCAAATTCTCAAAAAGGAAAGAGAAAGAAAAAATCTTCAAAGTAGCAAAAGAGGAACAAATTGTAACAAGTGATCTTCAATAAATTAAATACTGACTTCATTTAAAAAAAACTATGGGGGCTAGAAAGCAGTTGTTGTTA